TCAATTATAATTTTTTATTTCAGAACACCAATTGGCGTGCACGTGACGATCTGGACATGGACTTGGCTTTGCGCCCGCGCATGAATGCACCAGATGTTGTGCGCTCCGCTCTGGGGCATGGCGAGAAGATCTCAGAGAATACAATAGATAACTTGCTATTGGCGCCAAATAAGATTGTCATACCTGAGCGTTATATTCCGGAGAAGGTAAGAGATGCTTGCTTAAAAGATCTAAAATACTGAATTTTTTTTCCAGAAAAGCCAGGTGTTTACAAACATGCAATGATGAGTTATCCTAATGTCATTTAAAAGCATAGACAATTTTACGTAGTAGTTTCTTGCCGGTTTGCCGCACATTGCGTACAACTTTCAAAACAAATTTTTCGCTTTTTTGAAGCTCCAAGATAAATTTCCGTATCTCAAGACTTTTTCATGAATCAGTAAATGTAAACTAATACTTGTTCTGAAATATATTGAATGGCATTGAGAGGTAGGCTGCGAATCTTACAGTATTTTCCAATAAACCGAATGATTTTTTAAGCCACTCAAAGCTGGTTCAGTTTCAAAAAGCTTCTGTTGTACTCATATACAATTAGAAATTAAGTTTAGACGTAACCAGATACATATGCACTATGTAATGGATCCACCAAGACCATCTGATCAAATTTGACTCGGACTGGTCTCTTTAAACTGCGCGCGCAAACCCAAACCAATAATTTTTTGTTAGTTTTTGGTATCACGTTTTGTTTTATGTTCGTGTGAAGTTTGATACCACTTTCCAATTGGCGAAGCATTTAGTGAAGATTGTGAGGTCATCGAAAGCTTGTCTCATTCGAGTTCTTCATCCAACTATGGTAATGATGATAGCATCGAAAAAATTAAAGAAATTCGTTGTGTTGACAGCAGAGAATTCCAACATATTTTATGAATACCATTTTGGTTAAAGTTTTGGTTAATGCTTTGGATATGGAGCATCTCAATGCTAGGCTCGGTTTTTTGCAGAAACGAGGTCAATTAAAGGTCGCAAAAGAGAAGTAGCTAGATACATTTTACATATTATTTTATCAAACGCATTGTTTTTGGGGACAAGACATGAGTTTATGAATATGAAATCGAAATGGTCCAACGATATAATGAAAGGCGCTTCAAAATAGAGCCAAAACCGAAAAACCCGTCAAAAGGAATAAAATATAATGATTATAGCTGACTTTTTTGCCAAACATGAAATCTTGTGACTTTTTTCAGTTTTCGAAACTGAGAAAGCAGCTTCGTCGAACCCGATTAGAATGTATTGAAACCATTAAAAAAATTTGATCAGATTATTACGACGTTGCAATACTTGTGAACTTACTTGCTTTAAAAAGACTAAACAGCCATTAAAAGTATTATGTTATAAAAATATTTGCAAACATTAATCAAACGTAATAAATCAGATGATATTACCGTGGCATTAACGAATTACACAAATTGCAGACACCCGAGCTATCACCCGAAGAAAAGAAACGTCGCCAAGAAAAAGTCGAATCCATCAAGAAGATGTTAGCTGAGGCGCCCATAAGCACCGCAAACGTGAGTAGATGCAAACTTTGGATATTACAAAATGTAAATTAAAATTAAAATAATCTTTTCTTGTGCGCCAGGACACCACTGTCAGCTTGCCGCCGAGCAAAATCAATGCCGAAAAGAAGCAACGCGAGCATTTGTTGCAACTCAATCAGATATTGGCACAACAAGTCATGCAAATGAGCAAAATCGTAGCTGGTAAGTGCATAGTAAAGCGAAATTCAAATGAAAAAACGAGAATTTCAAGCAATTTCATGCGCTCATTTTACTTTAGCCACTTGTGGGTACATAAGTGAAAGTATTTCTTTTCGAATTTGGGTTTCTTCTATGTAATTGTTTGTGTAACTATTTGCGTTAACGGTAACTTTGTGTTGAAATTAACAAAAACAAAAAAAGAAAGAAAAAGTAAATAAAATTCAATTTTTGCTAGTTTCGATTATGCATTACTCAACTACTAACCAATTCGTAACTGTTCAAATGTTTTATTTATGTTTATGTTTGTTGTTTTTGTAAATGTATGCTTACTTTATTTACTAACATTAACATTATTACTAGTATGTTGGCTACTTTCTATTATGAACATATATATGATTTCATAAAAATTGCAAGCGTTCATTATGTGTTTGTTGTAAAGTCTCTCATAAACGAATTAAATTATATTAAAAAAAAATACTAAAAATTAAAAAAAAAAAATATTGAAATTGAAAGAAAAACCTTTTAAAATTGAAAATACAAATATTAAACCCAAAAAAATTTTTTATTAAAAAAATAGCATTCTCATATATCTTAAAAAACTTAACCGCTATATATGCTCTCGTTCTAATCTTGAAATCTGTATATTTTTTTCTTTTCCGAATTCTGATTTTCTAGATGATAATTGAATATCATTTACATGCATATCTACATATGTATATGAATAAACGTTTCGTCAATAACATAATCATAAAGCCAGAAAAATTTCTTTGAAAACTATAAACTATCTCACATAAATCAATCATGTCATCTATCAGCTCGGCATCCCATTTCATCATTTCGTTGGCCTTTGTAGCGCATCAACTCACCTCAGTAGTACACACGTACCAATACATATACATACCATATGTATTCGTATAACTTCGGCAATCACGCATCATATCAACCAGTAGTTCTCTCACAGCCATGCCCAAAAACACCAAAAGTACCAAAAATATTAAAGAAAGTTTTGTAAAATTGTAAATTATCAAACAATCACACACACATTGTATTATAACGTCCACTAGTTATATGAAGACCTAACCTCAACCTCACTAAATTATAAATCTAAATCACTTTATTTAAGCACATTCACCGTTACACATTCACCATGTTCATGATAAGCACACGCTCTCACTTTCACCTAAGAATTAATGCACTCCTATGTATATACATATATATTACATATTTACTTAGTATGTATCACTTCTATGAATAAAGCATAAGCATTTCACCTAAAAACCAAGTACTTAGTAATCATTTCAATCATTCCATTGTAGTCGCTAAGCCATCCAAGCATCTCAGCGTTCTCACTTTGCACCACAAACATTCGACCAAACCAAATTTCTTAAATTTTTAAATTCTTCTCGTATGTATATACTTTTGCTTTGATTCTTTGTTTCCTTTCTACTATTTTCTATAAAAAATATTGTAAAATGAGATTTGTAAAAAAGCTGTCTTTGAAAATTTTAGCGTGTTTTCAGTGTTCGTATATAAAGATTTATGTGTTCTGAGCGGTTTTACGTGTTCTTTCTTTCTCCGTGTAATTCCTTATGATCATGTGTGGATTTTTTACTATGTATAGTATGTTTCTACGATGTTTGATTCGTGTTTCACGCAGTACTCCATATTAATGTTATTATCAATGTTAACAAATATATACATTTTCTTCTTATTCTGTTTCTAATATCGACGTCAACTTCAAACCCGATCTACGGTGTCTCTTAGAACATATTAATGCGAGGTCTTACTTAGTTTCTAAATACAAAGAAATGTTAAGTCGGGGGTTCTGCAAAGTAAATTTTCTTAGCTTTATATAATATCCAATCACTTTTTCAATAATTCTTTGTTTAAAAACTTCCTTTTTAAGTAGTTTTTATACGATCTGTTGAATTCCATGTTTGAATGCAAAAATTATGGGATATTAATTTCAAAGTTATTTCTGTTATCAGCGAATTAGTTGTTATTTGTTGAAAAGGCGATTTCGGTTATTAAAAAAAAATACGAAAATTGTATACACATTTTAAGAATACATAGTACTTTTTTTAAGAAAAAAATGTAATAACTTTTGAGTTCCACGCGTACTTTGACGACGCTGAAAAACGTCCGCCACTACTGTAGTTATTCTTGAAGTCTTCGTTGATGGAACCTTAAAAAAAATACTCGACGAGGAGATTTTGTCGGTACAGTGATATACGCTCGATCGCAAAAATGGTGGCGATTATAAAGGCTGATCCATTTCGAGCTTCCCTATTTTTTCAAAGAATACACACAAAAACTTCAAATATATTGGGGAATGTTGATTCTCTGCATAGACTTGAGATGTTACATATTCACACAGAAAATACTCTAATGGTGAAATTATCTGGTCACCGAAGTATTCTCTCAATAAATACATTGCTTGATGATGTGTGGGAAGTAGCGCTGTTTTGTTGAAACCAAATGTCGCCGAGATCACGAATTTCAATTTCACGCATCAAAAAGTCAGTTATCATGGCGATAACGGTCACCACTGACGGTTATATTTTCACAGGCATCATGTTGGAAGAAATATGGAGCGATGATTCCACAGGACTTCACCACTGAACAAAATTTGCGAAGCGAAGCGGTTTGGGAAGATAGAGCGGCTTCTGTTCTTGCACAAGCTGTATTTTTGTACGCTTTCAATGTAATTGTTCTTGAAAAAGTTACCTATACTTTGATCATCCGTTATATAGGTATTTGGAGAGATAGTCAGTATTCTTTAAACAAAATTTTCATATACTCTTAAAAATATTTTCTTTCATGAAAATTGTTGCTTCACAATAACGACGGAACTTTGGTATAGTTAACCATCCACCACCAGCCGCCACTTTCTTTAAAGTAACTAAGATTAGTTGGGGTTTCAATGCTATATAGTTATACCTCCCAGTTAATAATTTTTGATAATTTTTGTGGAGTTATCTTGTAAAAAAAAGATATTCCATACAAGGACTTAATTTTGATAGATCATTTTGTATAACAGCTAGATGCTTTCTTCTCTGCCTTTAATGATTTAGACACCACTGGTGGTGGTGGTTATAGCCGAGTAAGTAATCTGATATCGACGGTTCTGACTGGTCCCGGGAGAAAATGGGAGAAAATTTCATATACGAAATTGCAGATAACGGACGGACGGGCATGGCAAAATTGACTCAGCTCCTAACGCCAACCATTTCTACGTCTACTTTTATACCGTATCCTAAGTAAGCCCTTATGGGTGTTCGAACTTATTGGCAAGTTTAATAAACCCTGTTTAGCGTATAAAATATCGATAAAAAAAGAGTTACAATTTAACGTTTGGTGATGGTGATGATAGGAGTAAAGTTAAACTTCTTGGTTCTCAGGCTTATTCTAAAATGCTTAAAATTGGGTAAAATTTTAGTTAGTAATTTTATTTCGTTAACATATCTTATTAAAAGTAAAAATTAAAAATAGTTATTAATTTATTGTATAGGAATAATGTTAGTTGTATTATATTGTTTGTATATTTTTATTTTTGATTTTTTTTACTACTTTAATTTTCATTTGTTTATGCAGTATTACTTCTTTACTTTTGGTATCTACTACTACTAAAACAAAAATAATATTCATATCTGGTAGTATTTTGTCACCTAAAATGCAAAGCAACATAACACCAAAAAATTGAAATGGATTTTTTTATTCCTTATGATTCACTACTTTATATTATATATATGTAGCATAAAATTTTCAGTTCCCTCTATCAGAAATATCCGATTTATAATCAATTTATAACTATTTTATAACCGTTTTATAACCAAAACTCAAATTTTGTCTCAATATCAGTGTTTTCTATTATATTATTTTTCCTTCGCATGTAAACTTATAAAAAGTGATGTTACGTTATTTTGCATTTTAGGTGACAATTTGTAAATAAGGGAGTAAGGTTAGAGGGTGGGGATCTATGGGTACCTATAACTGCTTCTAAAATGAATTTAGTTTGTATAAAATCAGTATTTGATATAATATAAAAAAGAAATTTGTTCAGAAATTTTCGAGCTCTGCGTAAACCCACATATCTACCCTAAACGTCAAAGCCTAACCTAAAATAATTTTCGTTAATTTTTTCTTTATTTATTGTTTATTATTTTACCATAATTTAGCGCCATTTTCTGTTTTTCTTTACTTTTAGGCAACCCAAATAGCCAAACCAATCTGAAATAGAGTGTTGTACGAAAGCGTTTGCCTAATTTTGTTGCGTGTGTATGCGTACTCGAATTTAAGAACGAAAATAATTTGCTAGTTCTTATAATATTCGTTTGCAAATATGTATTTTATAAGTTGGAAATCGCATTTCGTTGTGCATTTATTTATACTTACGAAAACCAATTTGTGCCTTGATTTTTGTTTTTTATTTAAAGACTTAAGTTACTTTTAACTTATTTTGTTTGACGACCAAGTCGCATAAATATATAATGTACATACATACAAATATACCTACATTAGTATATATACATAGCAAAAACCATAAACTCATACTCATACATACATACAAACGTAAGCGCCCCAAAAGAAAAATGATCGAGCTAACACTATATAACATTGAACCGACCATATCACATACAAATATTATATGCGCACACATACATACATATATACTGTTAAATATATATATTTAACATACACACACACACACACACACACACACACACACACATATACATATACATACGTATAGTGAAAGGAATGAGCGAAAATACAGCATAATTGCAAGTGCAGCCAGCAAAGCAACCGTAAGACCCGCGATTGCCGCTGAGAGATAAACGCATGCATATCTCGCAGAAACGTTTGCCTCAGTTACTAAACAAAAAAGCAACAACAATATACAAAAATACAGTATAATTAACTTACCAATACTAAAAGCAAGCCAATAAAACATATATTTAAACAACTACAAAATATAAGTACAACAACAAGAATTTTGATACGTACCAAAAAACAACAACAACTACAACTATTTATTACAACTACAATAAAAAATAAATTGTACAACATTTTCCACAACAACAACAACCAGTACAACAACAAGAACAACCACAGTGACATCAAAACGCACCCAAAAGGTTTGTATACAATTGCTCATTTACTACTATTTGCTAGCTGCTAACTGCTACTAAGTACTAAATACCATTTCTATTACCATTTTTGTAAGCTTTAAGTGTTTGAGTTTTGAATTGATTGTTTAGTTATGACTAGTGACTTTTGCTCGCATTTATATATTTCGAATATATTTGTTGTTTTTGTAGGCAATTTTCTAAAACAGAAAGCTTTTTTTTACATAATTGTATATAAATACTATATCTGATATTTACAATACGTTTACTTATAGAATTAAATATTTTTTTACATACCTTTAAAAAGTGTTTTTTAAGTTTAAACTGTTTTTGGAAAACTCAAAATTATTGCAAACTCACTCATTTAGCACAGAACAAGCACTTGTGTTTGCCACCATGCCATCAAAATGTAAGAACAAAGCAACAGCACTCGTGTTATGTCAGCATGTAGCGCACGCAGTGTTTACACAACTAGTTATGAATACCAGGTTGCTAACCGATTTGTTGTAGAGTTAGCTGAAATTGTTAAATAACATTTGCTGTTTGTACCGAAATTGATTTTGAAGTAGTTTAAAGAAAGGCTAAGTCTTTGGTGGGTAGTTTATGTGCCCAAAACTGTGTGAAGATAAATTATTTTACTGCGTGTGAAAAAATATAAATTTTTTGTCTACAAAGTTAGTTGTGAAACATGACTTAAGATACAGCGTATAGGATTAAATGTTGACAATAAACAGACACAGTGAAGTTTTACGGCTGTTGAGCACGCTTTATCTTTTCTTACGTATATTTATGTAGCTTAGCGCCGAAATATATGCTTAACTTTAAGTTTTTTGCCTGTAAGGTAAAGTAATTAAGTATTAGGTCGAAATAACACAATTCCAAAAATAATCAAACAAGTGACAACAATTTATTTTTTCATTAAGAAATCTAGGCCCTAGTGGATAGTCCTGAATGTGCATAAGAGGTTATATACACTTCCAAGTCCAAAGACACGATTTTTTCGAGAATGCAGTTGATTTATGAAAAAATTAAAAATGAAAAAATTGATTTTGAGCATTAAATTTACTTTGTTAATCGGCGATTAATTTTGCAAAGTTGTGTAACTTCGAAAAATCGTGCCCGGTGACACTTCTGCTTATACCTATTTCAAATCTAAATGCCAAAGATTTTTTATTACCATAAATATACGTATACAGTTAACTAACGAAGCACTAAAAAAATTTTGATTTTTGAAAAAAATCGTTTTTTTGTGAAAAATGTACAGTTCATAGTGGCTTAAAAAATCGACTTTATTTTCGAAAATCCTATTACATCGACCATTACCTAACAAATATAACTAAGAAATTGGTGTGGAAATTTTAAGCGCCACAGTTTCAAATTTCTCTGAACGACTCTGTATAAAGCCTAAGTGTATATAGCCCTGAAAAGATAGTCCCAGAGCCAATCCAGCTAAGCTTCGAGAAGAGCAGATCTACTTATAATTTTCGAAGCATAATTTTGAATATATGCACATTCGATATAAAACATAAGAGCAATAAAATCGATTTTGTTTTAAATTTCCAAGTGGATGTAGCCCTGAAAAGTAGTCCCAGAGCTAATCAGTTTGATTCGAGCTTCGGATGTCAAACATTTTTAGACATAAGAAAAAAAATTTATTGCACTTGAGTGATAGTCGAAACATTTCAATTGTTTTTCGAATATCTAACTATAAAGTGCTGGTTAAGTTTACAATTGAAAATATAAACAAAAAGGTTGCCACTGTGGCTAAGTATTAAAATCGGGTTACATAACCTTTTCAATATTATTTCAAAAATACAACTATAAAGGCAAATTATTCCAACATAAATTGTGATAAAAAGGTACCCTGTTTTTCAAAAATTAAAATTTAGATTAGTTCGTTGATCATACCTGTATTCCTAAATAGCAACAAAACTGCTTAATTTTTAGATTTGAAATAATTATAGGCAGAAAAATCATAAACCAATGTCTCATCAGCAGTTATAATGCTTTCCACGAATGTGGAATTTTTTGACGAGTCGAGCAAATACGTATTTCATACCCAAAATATTCACCAACATAATTCGACCGGACTCACGAGAGATGACGAGCTCTCTTGCCATCTCTCTAACGCTCACATGACGATTTTCAAGGACCGTATCCTTCACTTTTTTAATAGTTTCATCAGTTGAAGAGGTCGAACGAGACATATCATCAACGATCTCTCCACCGTCTTTGAAGGCTTTGTACCACTCGATGGCTTGTGTTTTTGACTAAACTATACCACCGTAAGGATTTTACAGCACTCGCAATGATTCCACAAACGAAATTTAGTTAGAAATACAAAATTGGAGACAAATTCTTTGTTCGATATTTTTATCCATTGTGCCGACTTAAGTTGACATAAAATTTCACTTGTTGTCCACACAAATTCCTTTTGACGCATTTTTATCTTTGAGCCGAAATGTATGCTTATAATTTTTACCGTTTTGTAAGTAACCAATATTTATTAGAACCACGGCACAAATCTGAAAATATGAGAAATGGTCATCCAATTAACTTTTAGTACAAAAAGTTATGATAAATTTTTACGTTAATTTTTTTCAGTTAGAAAAATCAGCAACTAAATACGCTGTGTACTTATAGTAAATACCCTTTTTAGGTATTAAAAATTGTATAATTTGTTGATAGTCCAATGAAATAATTTTACAATGAAAGAAAGTTAAATTTTTTTAAAATATAGTAGAGGGCAAACTGAAATTTTTCTCTTAACATTTTGAAAGATAAAATACTTATTACAAAAATATTACTTTTAGAATAAAATACCCAAATACTAACTCATTTGTAAGTGCCAAAGTCAGTAAAAAGATATAAAAATATTAAATACAAATGACAACTTTGTATTTACTCGTAAGTATGGACAGCAGCCTTTTCTTTCTCCCATTACCAAGAACCTTCTGCCACATTTACTGATATAAATAAAGTAATTAATTTTCCCTTGCCGATTTTCATTTGTTAACAGAAAAAGCCATGGCCAAGGTGCACAATGACGAAGGCGTTGACGACGACGATGACGACGCATCACCAACTGGTCGTGATGAGCGAAGTTCCGAATCACCAAGCGAACCACTGCCGATCTATCAACAACGCGATAATTACTTTAGTTGAATTTCCGAAGCACAAACTAAAAATAACACAAACAACAATAACATTAAGCACTAATAACAACTACATAAAAAAATAATTGAATGATAAGCAGCCGAGAAAGGCAGACCACTGCACGCATACACACATACACATAAAAAGTACTAATGAATACTATTTTATTAAATAAAAAAATATTAAAAACAAAAAATTCAAATAGTCAGTAAATGAAAGCACCAAAAACAAGATGATGTACACTAAACTACAACAAAAGCAACAAACGCTAAGATAACTACAATTAATGGCGAGAAAACAATAAGCTACCAACACTTAAATACAAAACCGTTGCATTTATCTTACAACCAAATAACTACAAATTATAAAAAAAAATACAAAAACAATTTCATGTGACAACAAAAAGTTGAAAATGTTAAAAGTTTACGAAGCGGCCGGTGTTGCGCCTGAAAGATGGCTAAGTCAATATTGTTAGTTAATTAATCGAGTTATTTGAGCTCATAATGTATACAAAAACAACAACAAAAATTAATGTATGTGTATGATAAAAAAATCTTTGAAGTTATTGTTGCCCGTTTGTTGTGTGTTAAAAGTGACTAACTAAAGAATTAACAATTTTAAGCGAAACTAAATGTGTAAAAGAGCCGCAAACCTTTGAAAACTATTTAAAATAAACTAAATTATTTTTGTTTTTGCTTAGCTGCAAAACTTAAACGACTGAATTGTAAAGAAAATTTAAAAGACTTTAAGAACAATTAACTAAAAATATCACAACTACCATAAATATCACAAAGAGTTTGAAAATACAAGAACAAAGCAAGCGCCACTAATTGACAAACTGCAAAATGGCGCACATAAGCACACGAACACACACATATATGAATATATGCATGGAACTGTAAACTAGATGCATATAACTGTAAATGTATGCATAATTTGAGAGGCAGCGCGGAGTCCAGCAACGGCGCTTGAGTAAAGGCGGTTTGGCATGCATATTTTAAGGAAAACATTAATAGTGCATAAATTTGTTGCATTTGCTGAAAACAAAAAAATATTTGTTGTATTTGCTGAAAAAAAAATCAGAAAATCAATTTTTTTTTTATTTTTTGCTTTCGAAGCAAAAGTTGCTGCGATTTGTTCAATTAAAAAAAATGGAATTAGCACAGGAATTATTAACGAATTAGGCCACATATCAAAATTAAAATGAAACAAAAAAATAAATTAAATTAGCTGAATTTATGCTATATTTGTCTATGTATATAAATATGGAAATATGACTGTAGTAGAAATTCGAAAGACACACACACATACAAATTGAATTTGAAAAATGCAAGTAAAACTAAAAAATTGTGAAAATAAATAAAAAATTTGAAAAAATAAAAAATTAAAAAAAAAATAAAAATTGTATGTAAATTACTATATACATGTATATAATGTATTTGTTGCACTGCATGCATGCGTTATACTGTTATACCGGCAGTGTGGCAGTGTTGCGCCAACAATATTGTTGAAGTCCTTGTTGAAAAGCAGAAAAAATCAGAAAAATTAAATTAAATTATTAAAAACTAAATAAACTATATACACATATATACATACAATTATATATAATTACAAAAACTAAATTAATAATGATAATATTTTGACAAATATGACAAAAAAAAACTATAAAAAAAAGTAATTAAATTTTAATTTACAAGCAACTGCTGAATATACTTGTAATTATATGAAACTGTGTGCAATTAAGAGCAAAAACAAATGCATTTATAATTCAATATCCATTTTGTCAACCGTTTGCGCCTGCAGGTAGTCAACAAAAAACATTAGCCTTAAATAATTTGAACATATTGTTCTATAAAGTTGATTGATGTTGCTACATAAATTTATAACTGACAACTACAACAACAAACTAACTCATGTCTCATAGTGTGAAACGAATTGAAGTGAAAAGCATTAGTTTTGAAGACCTAACATTTTGTTGTTTTTCTTTCCACAAAAAAAGACAAGGAGACAATGAATATTATACAGAGTTTTAAAAGAAGATTTCTAAATCTGCTGATACAAGCACTCATAAAGCATATATGTTCTCGTTCAAGCCAACTACTTAAAAAATTGTAATAAATAAACAGACACTAGCTCAGACGCAGACCATTCTACAAGTCGGTATACTACCTTTCCAACGTTGCAATGTTTCCTTGAAACTTCTTTGAAATTAAAATATTTTTATTACTATTTTCATTACAGATTTCTTCAAAAAAAGGTAATTCTGACCAATTTTCTCTGTACTTTTTCCATAAAGTTTTTGAAAAATATATACTACCCTTACTTCGGTACATATGAAACTGGCCTTGAGTTAAAAAAACAAAAAAAAAACATAAGTAATAAAAAAAAACTAATAGCCGCGCTGTACTTACACCAAACTGTTCTACTTTGCTGCGCAATTTAAAT